TACGCCTAAACAAAATTAGACGTAGGTTCAACATCTGCCTATGAAATTTGAGGTTTCAAAATGGTCTACACAGAAATTGCAGGTTATAGTGAGCCAAAGTTAAAAAAAGTCTGAATCATTTATTTACAGAAGAAGCTATAGTTTGATTGAATTTAAAAAGCAGAATTTGAATTTAAAGTAAAAATTGAAAAGTTGAAGTGTTGATGGGTTATGCATATGCATGCATGGTAGAAGTACCTTGTTAACAGCAGAGCAAACGAACTTGCAGCCAAGAACAATGTGACTGAGCAAGATTGTGAAATCGCCACGAGACTCAGGGCGCTTGGACTGTTCGTTGAGCACGAAACGGGTTATGGTCATGAGGTCCGTGCGTTGGGCATCCGCAGTGTGATCCATGTTTTCTCAGCATACAGCAACTGGATACTACGTCATGGATATCATATCACTTTAACTGCTTTCATATTTATCCATCAATAATATCATAATATATGTGCAGCGAATGAGACAAGCCTATCTCATATTATCTGCGGGGAAAGGAAGTTTCGGATGACACGTGGAAGGCGTAGGGAGCGCGAGGGAGCTCGTGGTCATGACGCCAGATAACCATTTTTGTCCTCAATCACCACCCCACCATGCAAATTTAAGCTACGTACCTTATATATTATGTGTGGACGCACCTTCTCCTTCTTTTGTTTTCTTCTTCTAACATACACCTTCAGTCTTGACTTTACTCTCCCAACAACTGCATCTACTCTAAACCTTACAAAATCATCCATTTTATCCACCCTCCCTATATTTTTAATTTCATTTCATTTCTCTACAAAACGCAAGAGATCCCAGATATATATAATGTGACGTTATTTTTATAAACACGTTTTTTCCTTTTTTAATACAAAATAATGGACATACACTTCACGTTTACAGTATCCTTTTATCTAATGGAATGTGATGGAAAAGTAACGAAATAAGAATGATACAAATTAATGCTATTAAACTCGAATTGGTTATTATTAATTTAGTTAGTTTAATTACCAATTTACTGTGTCACTCGTCTAATGGACAAGTCACTCGCACATAAGCGCTTATGCAATTTTAAGTCCGGTTGTATATTTGACACATTTACATAAATTTATTCGTAAACACTTATTATAAAAATATATAAATCTGCAAATAAGGACATGTGAGACCTTAAAAATGATGACTTAAATAAAATTAGACTATTTTGGTCTAGCTTGCTAAACTCAATAAGCCAAATGAACTCAAGTCAAACTGACCTGCAGACTTATGGGTTTAACCCGTTAAACTAATAATTGAAATAATATAAATTATTAATCTAAAACGTGCTATAAAATGATAGAATATAATATAATATTAATATTGCAACAATAACAACTAGGCTTGTAGACAACCACAACACCATATTCTCACAATGAGATATTTATCTTTTGAAACAATACCTTTCCTCTAGTTCTAAGTTAATCAACACAACTTAACTTCATGTATTAAGCATTTTCAACATAGCTACTTTAATTTCAACACTACAACATACAACTCCACTACAGTTTAACTCTCATCAACTTATAACTTTAAGTAACTTAAATATCAACATGCATCATCCTAGATCAATGCATAAGGAGCTGAAGCTATATAACAACATAATTCATATGAGTAACCCAACCTACTAATCAATTATTCAACACTTAGTCAAACAAAAACCACAATTTCATTTTGTAACTCACACCTAAGGCCATTCTTCTAGTGCCCACTGCCATTAAGGCTTAGAGCCTCTGGCTCGCCCACACTCAATGCCAATCCACTTGCGCCCAACTTGAATGGGATAGAAAACCCTTATGTTAAGCACATTTAACGTAGCTAAACCCACAACCAACATAACAACACTAATGTATGACGTCATCTAAGCAGGGAACTACTGTCTTAATCATGCCAAGCACCACTCAACTAGAACTTGATGTTACCAAGTCAGAGAGCTCCAAGAATATCTACACCAAACGTCTTTCAACCTACACCTGACATGATCAAGTCAGATAATTATCCTCTAACTCACGCTCAACACTAATCTTGCACCTGACATTAGTGAGACAAAGAGTCTCTAACCTATATCACATTCAATGCCATGAAGTTGTACTCAACGTGATGATAATTTATGCACTAAGCAAAATCTCATTTTAGTTAAATCCACTTGAACCTCATAAGATTTTCAACATGCAATGCACCAAATAACATCTATACATCATTACCAACCCATTTTCATCAACTAAAACAATATGCAATCAATAAAAGGGCAAAGGCCATCATTTTCTCAACTTTTTCCACAACCAACTTAAAGCTTAAAACTAAGAAATTCAAATCCTAATTTCAAGCAACACAACTACAAAAATTGTACAATTAAAGTAAGGATTCAACAATTTATTCAACACAAAAATTCCAAGAATTTCCCTTACCTCTAAAGCAACTAGAAAATAGGAAGAAGGAAGAAAATCAAGACTCTTCGAGAAAACTTTGAACCACTTCACAGTCTTTGATTCTCAATTACTGAGACTTTGAATCTCAACTTAGCTACTCAACCTCACTAAAAGAGAAGGTCTAGAATCTCTAGGGATTAAGAAGAAAATGAGAATAAGTTCTAGCTCCAAAAGTTTATTTTTTAAGAAAAATCTTATATACTTCCTCTAAGTAGTCAACTTGACATCAACTCAAAATAATTCCCAAACAAAAAAATTCATTAAGATTCCAAAATCCTTAGAGTTTTACAATAATTAAACAACTAATCACAACATCAATTTAATTAATAAAATTAACATACAAATAAAAATTAACGGTGTTATAATATTTAAAAAAAAAATCAAGTTAAGATAATATTTTTATGATTGTAATGTTCTGTTAAAACTATTTATTTATATTTATTTATTTATATTAGTGAGTCAACTTACGAGTAATTTTTCATAACCTATTTATTTAAAAAATTGGTGGATCAAATGAACTCATAACCTATCATATTTACTACCGGTATTTTTTTTTTTGGGTTGAACTTGATATATTTCTTGGTGAAGAGTCAAAATTTAATTAAATCTCAAAGTACTAAAATCTATTTAAAAAGTTAATTTTTGTTAACAATTTTTTTTTCCATTCACGTACTAATTTGAACTAAAATATATAAAAAGAATCATATTTAAAATATTATTTATTTAGTTCAAGTTTCATTGAAAGATGCTTTAAGAAAATAATTAAATTTTAAATGATGTTAGTAAAGTTAAACGGATGTAGATTAATTTTTTAATCAATGTAATTTACTTTTTTATTATTTAGTCAAGAAGGAATGTGGAATACCCTAATACCAAACTGATAATTACCAATTCTACTTCTTTTTTTTAACATACTTACTGCCACTCTTAATTCTATGGGGTCACCCTTCATGAATTGTATTTATCGCACCGCCTCTTTCATTATCATTTTCTTCTTAATTTGTCACTATTCAATGCTACATTTTCTCACCATACCAAATACTACTATCACCATCCTCCTCTGCCAAATCACCATATTCCTTCGGAAACAATTTTTTTAATTTAATTTTATTTCAATTAAAATCTGTTGATCATATAGCAATTATCATGTACATCCTATACACATACACATGGAAAAAGACATTAATATAGCTTCTCACTTGAAAATTAATTAACCAATTAAGTGCTTAATTAAATACGGAGTCACTTGCTACCTAATCTTTTGAGATTCACAATTAATTCATCAAATTTTCATTCTAATATTATATTTTCTTTTATTAACAATTAATACATTAATAGTTGCGTGTTTGTGTTTTCTTTATGAAAATATTTTTTTAAAAAGAAAATTACAATATGTTTGCATGAGTTTTCGGAACCAAAAACCTTAAATGTGCATTACCCATAACCTTTTATTTATTTATTTATACTTTTATAAATACAATGCATGACTTTTTTTTTACTAATTATATAATTAGTATGAATTATTTATCAACTTTTTTAATTTATGGTGGAGAACCTCACCACGTCTCTCTTCTTAGGTCTTACCAATTATGTTTTTTTTTTCATATGAAACTTATTGATATATATATATATATATATATATATATATAATTTATAATAAAAAATAATATTTGTGCCGTAAAACGTATATAAAGGTTACATTAAAAGCTATTTAAATAGCTTTATTATAATTATAATATTATAGGTAATTATTTATGTGTTACATGATTTTCTAAATTTAAGTAACAATAAACTAAATATATATTCAAGACACATAATAAAACATACATCGTTAGTTTATCTAAAGTTTTAACACATATATCACAGTAGCAATAAAAATGCTTAAACATTATAAAAAAATATTTATTGATTAACTTATATTGTAAGACAATATTTTTAAATATATAAATTATATTTTAATTTTATATAAATAGATATTTTTAAATACATAAATTATATTTTAAATTTATGAAAGATAATTTATATTGTAAGACAATATTATTTTTATTTATCAATAATTTATTTTATAAAATTAAAATTCAGTTTAAACTAAAAATCAAATTTGGTAAGTTAAAAAATTCTTAAAATTTTTTTAATGAAAGAAAAAATCTTAAAACTCTTCTAACACAATATAGTTATTCATATTTAATATATTTGAGTTGATCTAAGAAAGTAAAATTTTGACAAATAAAAAAATAAAAATAGTATAAATCTACAGTTAAGATTCTTAAAAAAAAAAAAAAAAAGAGACAATAATTATGATTTTTTTCTTCCCTTTTCTTAACAGGAAAAGCATAAGAGCTTTTGTTTCCTCTTCGTTAAAGGAAAGTATCGGCGGTAGCTTCTATTTTAATCTGCACAATCAAAATCATAATGTTCCATTTCCTACAGTACCCTCTCTTTTCAATTAAATTACTCACTCTACCACTTCCCCCAACCTTTAACTGAGGGGCCCCACGGTCATTTCCTAGATAACACCACTACAAAGATTCATCCTCACACGACACCGTTTTCATCCGCTCCACCTCCACGGCACTTGGCTTTAGCCCCGCCACTCTCACTATTTCATTTCCACTTATGCCCCTACCCGGCGTTCCAAATTTCAATTCGTTCGATTTCGCCAAACACTCGATACAAGAAACTTCGATTTTCGATCGCGGAGAATCGAAACCCTAATTGTCACCCTTCTTGGGCTTTTGTTTTTTTGTGTGGTTTTAGTTTCCAAGGTTTTGATCCGTTTCGGAATGGGCGATCGAGGAGAAGACGAGGATTTGCAAATGGCGATTCGGATGAGCATGACGCCAGAGCCGAAGCGCAGCAAGCCACGCGACGCCGTCGCCGGGGCGGTCTCGGTATCACCGGAAGACTCGCCGGAGTCCAAGACCAGGCGTCGGGAGCTCATGGCGGCGGCTGCGGAGAAGCGGATGGCGGCGGCGGTGAGGCTTTCGCCTTCGAAACCACCGCCGGCGAGGCTTTCACCTTCGACGCCACCGCCGGCGATGAAGGGTGGTGAATTGGGGAGGAGAGTGGAGGAGCCGCGGTTGAAGGGTGTGAATTCGAGTAAGGAGCTTTCTGCGGATGTGGCTAATCAGTTGTTTACTATGGTGTTTGGGAATGAAGTCTCTAAGGGCATTCTTGCACAGTGGAGCAACCAGGGAATACGGTATATATTATTTGAAATTACCTTTTATTTTATCTCAAGTGTAGAATTCGCAATTGAACTAGCTCTATACACTATAGTGACACTGACAGCACAACTCTAACAAAGTCTTGCAATGAAACCTCTGCTGCATGCTTTATTGTTCAAGACGATGATGTAATTGTATCGGAGTAATCGTCTGCTGTTGTATGGTATCTACCAGGATTAGCCATTTACTTCAAGTTTTATGGAGTTTTCTAGTGTTTTCTTTTTTATTATTATCATTTATTTTTGTGTTACTTGTTTCTATGCGATTTGAGTCTGATTTATTTTGTCATGGACATGGTGTGGTTTCATTGTAGCCTAATATCATGCTGCTTTTGTTTGTTCTGAATCAGGATATACGTATATTTGTATTATTTATGATCGTGAAGTGAGCTCAGTTCGAATTGGTTAGTTACACAGTCATGTAGTCTTCAAAAGTCCCATGAGTTCACTGTTATGCTGTCTCTCATTAATAATTAATAATTAATAATTTAGTGAGTCCGGTTATTCTGGCATTTGAAATTACAAAATATATTACAAGAAAAGGGGGAAAGAGAATTTCCGGGTACTGAAAACATATGGAGAGTTTTGTAGATCTGACTTAATTGTTAGAGCCTTGGTGATGATCATTCAAAAACCAAGTATGGAATTAGGGTGTAGGAATGGAGTAAAATAAAACTACAAAAGTAGGCATAAAGTAATGTTGATACGGGTTTCTTCTTTTAAGTCAATGGAGGAAGGGGGAACTTTCTATTGGAAAGACTGACCGTACTGAATGAGGGACTAAGGGTGAAATTCTTATGTACTGCTGGTGTTAGACAATTATGTTATGTATTACTCTTCTTTGGTTGCTTGATGGAAGCAGTTTGTCAAATAATTGACTGATAAAAAGCTCTCCCTGCATTGTAAAGAATGAAAAGAGTAAAAAAAAAAAAAAAAAACTAAAAAAGATGCAACATTGCTATTGAACCTAGTCATTTTTTCTTGAAATAGAGTAGCAAAATTCTGTTCTACAAAGTGATTTTGTTTACTTAAAGCTACACTCCTTAATTTAATAGCAAAGACATACAGATGTTGTCATTTCTTAATACTATTTGCTTGTTATTTGGAGACTGTTTTTGATTTTTGAGCTTCTGTGGAGGTCTGTTGAATATAACGTATGTATTGGCATAAGCTTTGTATCTTGTTCCGTAATCGATGACCAACTTTTCTTGTGTAGCAACTTTTGCTATTGTACGTCATGTCAACCTGTTTCAGTGAAACTAATGCTATGCTGCACATTTTCCACTTGTGAGGCTTAATTTATGAATGGACTAGTTTCATTCATTCACTGAAAAATCTTCGTTATAAAGGAAGTCATGAACATGTGTTTTTAACTCTTCAGCTGCATGTGAACTTTTTAAATTTGGCTTTTGAATTTGTTTTTTTTTGTTTTTTTATACTTTTAAATTTGAATAAGATTAGTGTATTTGCTTTTTTATTGCTAATACTATGAAAACTTCACTATAGGTATAGCTCTGATCCTGTAACATCAATGGGCCTAGTGCAACATGAAGGCGGCCCCTGTGGCGTTTTGGCAGCAATACAAGTAATGGCTACATTTTTCAATATTGCTTATGAACTTGTGACCTGCTATCCATTTTTCAAAACAATTTAAAAAGCCCCTATTTCAAATAACGCAAAATGGTACTAATTCGTTTGTGATAATTCCACTCCAAATAGGAACCTTCTGGATAGCAAGCCCAGCTAATATTTACCATAAGGTCCATAACAATAAAACTATTGAATCCCTAAACTATTGAGACTGTTTTCAATGGTTTTGGATTGTGAGGACTAAATTGAATTTAGAGTGAAACTATAGGCATTAAATGAAGGCTTTAACCTATAAAATATTAGCCACTAGCTTTATGGTACATGTACTAACTATAGGCACTAAACAAGTATTTACAGGCACAAAATATTAGCAAATTGACTGTATGGAAAATACATTATATGTTTTCTTTATATGATTTCCCATGTATATGTTGCAAGTAAAATGAATTTAATGATGCCTTGGTATCCTCATTTAAGAATGGAAATTGGGCATAGGGGTGCAGGTAGTTCTTCCATTACTATTAGTGTGTTTGGTTTTGTGGTGATTCAAGGAAACCATGGTGTCTGTCAGGGATTTAGCAAGCGTACCAGATTTGCAAGTAGTAAATTGGACAATGAGTGAAAGTATTGAATCCACATAGACTTGTGTAATACTCACTTGGTATTAATTTAATACTACTTAAGAAAAGATTTGTTTAAAGTTGATTGCATAAAATTAAAAGGTTGAATTTTATGAATAGCAGTAAAATTTTATTTTTTGGGTTTTCCAAATTATCCTATAGTTGTAGTAAAATTGGCTGTGTTCGATAATAATAAAAATGTTAAGGTTTGATTTCAGTAACCTGACATGTACCAATCAATTGACTATTTAGTTCATATTAATCCCTATATATAAAATACAAATGACTATTTTATGTGAAAATGTTTTTATAAGTTTTTATTCGATGAGAGGAATTTTAGAGAATTTTTCAATTTTATATCTAATTCATTTTTTATTTATTATAATTATTTATGAAGTAAATTTTAGCATTTTAAAAATAAATCATCATTAAATAAAAATAATCTTGTGCAACAATAGAAATTATTTATCATAAATATAAAATATAATTTATATATTTAAAATATCTACTTATTTAAATTTTAAATATAATTATAATATTCAAACATAATATATATTTATATACATAATTTATTTTAAATTTTAATTATATATAATAAACATTTAACTTGTGTTTTACATAAATTAAAATATTAGGTCTTATTAATCCAACAACCAATAAAAGTATTTTAATCCTAATTCCTTAAGTAAAAACAATCTAATAATCTATCCATCTCTAATTAAAATCTCAATCCTTTGTAAAAATTAATTAAGAGTTTTGCATTGAGATCAAAGGTTCATGCGTTGGCTAATGAATTTACACTATCTCTAGTTATAAGCTTTATTAGATTTCGCTTCCAATTCGCGATTTTAAAAGGATTTCTCAACGACAATAAATTCCATGAAATCATATTTAGGGTGTCAAAGCCAAAATAAGCTTCAAGATAAGGAGGAAATAATTGAATTAAAACATTAATAACTAACTAGAAATAATACATGGATTCAGGTCAGTTACATCAACTTCCATCAATGGTGGAATTAGTCGCTCGTAGTCATGGCAACACAAAGATTTAATATAGAAGAGAAGAATGGCCTGGAAAAATGAAGGTGCCATGAGTCGTCTGTTTCCCAAGAGTTTCCGCAGAGTCTGAGCAATAGGTTATAATTCTTTTTTCAGGCTTTTATATATCAACAGGAATAATAAGCCTCAGATTTAAGTGCACTAAATTGGCTTGCTTAAGCACGACTTCTTTGAATAAGGTGTCCTGGAGCTTGGCTCGTTTAAGCAAAAGTAATGGACACGTTAAGCAAAGCTTGTCAATCATATTTCCTTTTTCTGGTCTCGCTTAAGCGTGAATGTCTCGCTTAAGCGTGAGTAATTCTCCAAAAATCCTTCTTTGAGGATTCGCTTAAGCGAAGCAAAGGGATTTTGCTGAAGTGTGAGATTAAATCTAGCCCAGCCTTCCTAGAATAATTTCTTATCCTGCAACTGAAACCACTAAATACAGAACCAAGTGAAAAAAAAAATCACTAGTATTATAAAATTCCTAAATTATTATTTTTAATGAAAATTTATCCAAATAAGGTTCTAAAGCATATGAGCTTAGAAATAATTGCTTAAATATACTAATAAAAATTAATCATATAAAGCAGTTATCTGTGTCCCACCATGTTTTTTCCACAGCACCAAAGAGTAGCTTTAAGGCTACGTGGTTTTTTCAACATGATCCACCGAGTTTCCAAACATGCATTATATCTATTTCCAACTTTCCATTTATATTAGTGGGTTTCCATCCATATTAGTACCGGTCATTCATGGATATCCATAAATATTTAAGAATTTAAAAAATCAAGAAAAGAATAAAAAAAATCATATAATATAACTTTATTTATTAATTTTAATTTTTATAAAATTATATTTTATTGCAATTTGCAAACAATGTATCAAGTTTCTTTATATTTTGTATTGTAATAATCAATCTACGCAATCAATTATTTAAAATATTCATTATAAGTAATGAATAAAATTTATTGCATCCAAAAATGATATAATAATAATAAGTAAATAAGTATCCATGTGGCAGCTATTATGATTCCCGCCCTCACCCAATGGATATCCATTTACCATCTTCTTGTGGGTAATCTGTGTGGGTATACATAGGTGCAACTATGGTTGCCATCTGCTCATTCATTGTTTTTAACTTTTCCTTTATAATAATGTTGAATTTGTTGATTTGATGAATAAAATACACTTTAGTAACTAGCTTGTTCGTGTGTGAGCATGTAATCAAATATGTCCATTTGTTATAATTTATTTATTCTACTGAATACTGATACACTATAAATTTCCAAAGCATGTTCTTTGGCCAATGTTAATTTTTGCTTATGTTTTCCTTTAACTTTTCAGGCATTTGTGCTTAAATACATCATTTTCTTCAGTGATGAGTTGAAAGATGCATTGTACATGCCACATAAGGGTCTGGGTGCATCATTTAAAAGTCAATCTGTTCCATCATATAATTTTTCTTCTCTCACTGAAGGTGTAAAAGTAAGGTGATTAACTTTTTCCTGACCAGTCATCTGTGTTTAGCTACGTAACATTCGTTATAATAAATTTGTAGTGTCATTTTTTGTCCGTTATACCTTCATTTTGTCAATTTCTTTGATCTATAGCACCTTATTTTCTTGTGTATTGTGAACATGAATATTGATTTGATTCAATTAAGTATTCTTAATCAATTTGAATTTGGATCGAGTTCATTGTTAATTTATTCTATAATTCTATTTCATGTATAGTAAACAGTAGGAGTTGATCATTTGACAACATTAAGTTGAGTCAGGACTTGATATATTCATCAAAGTCTTGTTCACTGCCTGGATCTTGTAAAAAAAGAACGCAAGGATTTTCACATTTCCATGAATGGATGTGGGTGAAGAAGTTAGTTCGCAGGTGGAAGATTTGTGTAGGAACATGGAATTTTGACATACTTGGTTACTGGTAAATCAATAGAAATGGTAGACACCATGATTAGGAGAATCAGTTTTATGTACTTTTAAAAATACACTAAGTGGGTAGGGAAAAAGGTAAAGGAATTATAGACACTTCAGGTTCTAAAAAGGTGAGCTGGGTATAATTTTAGATAAGACTAGGAGATAGGTTCCTAGCCGTAATGTTGGTGCTGGAAAGTGGAGAGTTTTAATACGATTAGTGCTTTAGGGAGGATTAGAAAAGTGTACAAAATAAAATTTTGGGAAGTCTTAGAAGTTATAATCCAAAGAATACCATTAGGAGAAAAGATTTTCTTGGGAGGGAATGTAAATAATCATGTGGGGAAGCAAATGCAAATGGTAAATCTCTCCCTGATTTTTTCACTGGCTTATGACTTTACAATAGCTGAAACTTGTTTTAGAAAAGGGGAAGATCATCTTATGACGTACAAAAGTAAGATGGCATGCTCTCAAATTGAATTTTTTTATAAGGAAACCATATAGAAAACTTTGCATGGACTAAAAAGTCATATCTAGGGAGAGCTTGACCACCCAACTCAAAGTCTTGTCATGAATGTAAGAATAGGAAGAAAAAAAGAGAGAAGAAAAGGCCAAAATAGGATTTCAAGATCAAGTGGTGGCAATTGAAGGGCAAAAATACAAAAGGATCTTTTAGTGAAGAGTTCTAGAAGAAGGGCGTTGGTATGCACAAGGAGATGTAAATGATATGTGAGATAAGATGGTCAAAAGGTTTAGGAAGGTAGCAAAAGAGACTCTTGATGATTCAAGAGGCTAAGGAGTAAGGACTTGGAGGAAAAGAATCCTGGTGGTGGAATACATGTATTAAAAAGGGAATTGTTGGAGATCCCACATTCATTAGTGATATGACCAAATAAAGTATATAAGTGGGGAGCAATTTTCACCTTACAAGTTGGTTTAATAGGGTTGAATTAGGTCCAAATTCATTTTCTTAAGAGGAATGCTATAAAGCGTTGTTTTCATGTGTAAAAATGTTGAAAATGTAGAAGCACTAAGAAAGATACCAAGAAGGTGGTTAACAATGTGAGAGTTACAACTTTTGTTAGGTTATACAAATCATTAGGCCTAAATTTGAGGGAGAAGTATTTATAGGCTTTTTAAAAGTAGCGAGGAAAAGGCCTAAGAGACTTGGATCAAGTGAAATGCTTTAAGGATGAAGAAGGTAAAATCTTGGTAACAAAACAAGATATCAAAGAAAGGTGGAAAAATTACTTTGACAAATTATTTGATGAAAGATGTGGATTTTTATAGTTGTGTATTTTTTTTATCCATCAAAATTACGATGACAACATCAATGTTCGAGCTTAAAACTATGTACATTTTATCCCAATCCCCTACCACTAGGCATTTGTGTATGTTTAATACATGGGATGAAAATTCAAAATACAAAATTTATTGTAGCATTGGAGAGGAAGGAAAATGGCAAAGCACATTGTTTACAAAATTCACCCATTGGTGTATGGAATAGACTAGATGAGAACAATAAAAGTTGATTAATGAAGTTGTTGGGTATCCCACAACAACTAGATATAAAATCAAGATATAATATATAAGTGGGGGATAATCCTCACTTTAAATCCACTTTTTTAAGATAGCATCAAAATTTGTCTTAGCAATTGTTATTGGATTTATCAGGCCACCTGTTATCGGGGCACTATCAAACTACCTGAAAATATCTAGTCCTTATCATGAGATATGTGTGTTAGAGAACTTACATTGATTAGAGATAAAGTTAAGATAAAGTATATAAGTGGGTGACAACCTTCATCTTACTAGTCGATTTTGTAAGGTTTAGTTAGGTCTAAATCCACTTTCTTAAGAGAGATAACGAGATTGTTTCCCCTTTCTGCTTCAGATCTAATGCTTAGTTTCCCAAATGATATCAACACTTTGACCACCTATATGAAATTTGCAGTGTCCAAATAACTTTTCTTTTCCTTCTTAGTCATGAACTCGCCATGGTTATCAAGCATTGGAGGGGCATGCTTGGTCCTACCTATTAAGTTATGTGTGGATTTTTTGCTCGTTTATTTATTTATTTAAATGTGGGATTTAGAATTAATGCAAGTTCTTGGGTTTTTTATGGGTTCATAATAGCTTAACCTCTATTTCTCATTTTTTTATTGAATGGTGAAGATTTCAGGTTTTTTGGTTGTGGACATCATTTTCTTATTAGTATATGTCCATATATTTAATTTGCTTATTTCAGATTCTCCTATGTTCAGCGTTTTGAAGGGATTTCAGAGGATGAGGTACCTTGGTTATTGTACTGATATTGGTTATTTATGTAGCATCTTGTTGGCAATAGATTGAATTGAATTTCCTATTTTGTTATTGTTGTCTTCTATTGTGATTCCCGTATGATATCCTTATCCGCTGAATCTTGTCTTGTTCAATAAAATTCATTTTTATAAATTTTAGTTCTTATCCAATGTCCTTCTATGTGTTCCACGGGTCTTTAATATTAGTTGTTCTGTTCTTTTAATGGTTTTACATATACTAATGCTCATGATATATTTCTGTTGTGTGATTTCTTAGCAGAGCCCTTGTAAGAAGTATGGGTGAAATTTTATTTTCATGTGGAAGTAATAGAAGGGCTGTAATTGCAACTTTGAGCATTCCAGAGAATGACATTCAGCATTTTGAAGGGACATCAGAGGATGAGGTACCTTGGTTATTGTACTGATATTGGTTATTTATGTAGCATTTTGTTGGAAATAGATTGTATTGAATTCCCTGTCTTGTTATATTTGTCTTCTATTGTGACTCTTCTATGATATCCCTATCAGCTGAATCAAGTCTTGTCCAATTAACAGGTTATTGCAAAATCACTTAAAGGTCTTTCCATTGAATCTGCCTTGGATCTGCAGAAAGTTCTTAGAGTTGAAACATGCACATCACAAACAACTGCATTGCAAAGGCTGGAAGCAAATCTTTCCTTATTCCAAAGTCGAATGGGAGCATTGCTTTTCCTAATATCTGCTTTACTTTCTCGGGGGCTGGTATGTTTGCCTACTTCAAGATCTGATATATACTTCATATTGGATTTTACAGGTTCTAATTCACAACGTCTTTTATAGCCAGAGATATTGGGCTGTTTTTCCCCTCTTTTTTTTTTTTGCTGAGGCATTCTTGCTACTAAGAATGAACTACTTGTGACTGAATATGGAATCTCCTTTTGCACAAATAGTTGAATTTCACTGGATGACTTGATAACTGTATTATTAGGTTGATCGTATTTTGTACTTCTAATTTCTCCTATAGGAGCATTCATATCATGGAAAATAGTGGTGTATGTCTGTTTTAAGGACGGCAAATTATTTCAGAAACTGGAATTGAAGAATAAGCTGGATGACAATATTTCTTTCATAGACTTACATTACCTTGTGTGCTCAAGGATCATCATCAAGCTAGATCCGGGAGCGTTCAGTGTTCATCCTAATCTCCTTTAAATTTTGAGCTGATTTAGTAAACCTTTCTTGTTCAAAGCTGTGTAAAGCAATGGGGCAGTTGTTACTAGTATCCATGCCTTTCATTTTTTAATTTTAATTTATTGTTTTAGAAAATATTGTGTCTGTAATTTACTACAGTCCTTAAATTTTGAGGAATAAAATGGTAAATTAGACGTGATAAATTCCAATGGGTAACTGAATTTGCATCAGTTGTTATTGATTATTATGCCTTCATAAATTCTCAAGTTAATTTTTGCAATATTTTGCTTTCCTCCAGGACTTGGTCCAAAGTGACCGGGATGATCCTAGCCTACCACTGGTTACTGCACCTTTTGGACATGCCTCCCAGGTATATAAACTTCAGATAGTTGAAAAATGCTGCCATCCTGTTAACCAATGCTTGTTTTAAATAATATTCAATAATATATAAGATTGTCATTTTCTGTGAATCTTGTGGTGCAGGAAATTGTGAACCTACTGCTTTGTGGGGAGGCTGTCCCTAATGTGTTTGACGGAAGGATGGATTTAGGTGGAGGAATGTTTCTGAAAGGTATATCCCGAGATGTGGAAGTTGGATTTCTCACCCTACTAGAATCCCTGAATTTTTGTAAGGTTGGTCAATTTCTGAAATCCCCAAAGTGGCCAATATGGGTTGTTGGGAGTGAATCCCATTACACAGTGCTGTTTGCTCTTGACCCTAGCGTCCAAAATGAGAATGAACTAGAAGGAAGGGAAACTCAGATTCGCAAAGCTTTTGATGCACAAGATCAGAGTGGAGGTGGCGGCTTCATTAGTGTGGAAGGGTTCCATCAAGTGCTTAAAGAAACAAATATCAAATTTCCACCAGATAAGCTAGAACATCTTTGCTCTGCAGGTTTCATTGTATGGAGTGAATTCTGGCAAGTGATTTTGGATCTTGACCAAAGCTTGGGAGGTTTGAAGGATTCATCAGGATTGATGGGTAGGAAGGTTTTTGATCTATACCATTTTAATGGGATTGCTAAATCAGATCTGAATGGCAGTCAAGTAATTTCTGGGGGTGAAACTCCATTGCAAAGACCCCGGCTAACAAAATTGAGAGTTTCAGTTCCTCCAAGGTGGACGCCTGAGGAATTTATGGCAGATGTGAAAGTTTCGACTGCTTCTACTGCAAGTGAGTCTGTTGGGAAGGACAATGAAGAATCTAAACCAGAGTCTTCTCAGCATGCACCTTTGGTGGACTGCATAAGGACACGCTGGGCCCGGGCAGTCTGCAGTTGGTCAGGGGATCCTCCTAGTATAGTTTGAGTTGCTGAGAACATAGAACTAGTCCATGAGCACCGTGTGGTGGAGATGGCAAAGGTTAACTCTGATCGCGAAATGGAAGCATTGAACAAAGATCTGGAATCAGAAATGGAAATCTTGGCTCAGAAAGAACAATCGGTTCAGCCAAGAGTAGATAAAGTTTTTGTTTTGTTTTGATTTGGTACCTAGAGCACATGAACAGGGGTTCATATCTCCAAATTTTATCCAATATGTGCATAGCCGTTATATCATAATATGATGTGGGTCAATGTATATTCATCGTTCTCTTCGATTTTGTCATGTCATTCGATAGGTAAAAAAAAAAAGAGGGATGCGATATTTGTTGTCAAGCCTACTTGTAACATCCATTTAAATGTACTGCCTTCGATTAGGAAGAATTTTATACAGTTCATTTGGGGTTAGTAATAAACGTGAAATCTGTCCTCATGAAATTGTTGTAATAGTTAAGTGTCATGCATGGCTTCTGCCTTCTGGAATATGGGTCGTGGAACGATTATCTCTTGTAATGATCGGGTCGAAGTCCTCTTCATTTCTTTCATTATTAAGGGTTTGGAGAAATAAATGAAATGGTGACGAGTACCATTTATTTCCTCAAAATGAGAAAACGAATCATGATGATCAGCATCTTTGTTCCATCATGTGTGCTAGTCACAATTTATTACGCGGGTTTCCGAACACATTATCCAGTGTTTAGGATTTGAAGTGTCAACTTGGAATCCAAGTATCTGTTTCCTGAGAACCATTCTGAATATTAGATATCAGATTGTCACTGGCATGCAACAAATACTGTATGGCACTATGGCTATGTTTGGAAAGATGTTAGGAGATGAAATGGAGGGGATTAAGCAAGAAGGTAAGTAATATTATAGTTTGGATTTTGTAAATTAGGATGGAATGAAATCTATTTCGTTTCATTATTTATAATTATTTTTCTTTACACTAATTTGGAAGGTATAGAAGTATACCATAGACTTCATGTCTCGCTGTGTTTGCTCTCTACCCTCCTCTCCGATCATTTGCTAAAAAATAACAATGACTAATTAGATCATGACATAAAAGGAAGTCTGTTATGATATATTTTAAAATTATTTTTAAAAATATAAAAAATTAAAACAAGACACTTGTGTTTCATTAAATAATGTTTAATGATATATTTTTACCAAATTTTATGGCTTTAATAAAATAATAATGAGTAAGGAAATAAAATAAATAAAACAAAATATTTTAAAATAAATAATATGAAAAATTAAAAGTTATAATTCTATTTTATTCCTTTTTAAGAAGATAGAATGAAATCTTGTTTGCTTCTATTTCTATTATAAAATATATATAAAGTATGAACAGCAAAATATTGTTTTGAATTCATTCTGTACTACTAAATTCTCCTCTCTATTATAATCTGATCGACTTGATTCTATTGTTTGAGAAATGATAGGATCAATATCTTAATATCTTTCGTGATTTTATCATTTTAATACCCTATTTAATATCTTAATGAATATCTTTCGTGATTTTATCATTTTAATAATTTGTACTATTTTTCTCCTCTATTTGAAACATATATGTATCCTTGGGTACTGGGTAAGCACTAGCAGAAAAGCGCATGGTGTAAAATTCTGGAAATTGATTTTCCTGTGTTTAAGGCGGTAATGTAAATATGATTCTCTGGTGGCATGGAATCAATTTGAGGGAAACTTTTGGCTCCATTTCCAAGTGGTGAATTCAATGATGAGAAGACGAATCCACAGTCATCTCCAGCCACAATGGCTCGTCCTCCGAAGATTCTCTCTGTGGTCGATGAAGAAGGAAGCAGAGTTAGAATCGGCACTATCACGCAATCGGCGATGGGTGGTGAATAACCAGATCAAGAACATCATCCTCCGCTACCCTAACAACGAAATCCCCATCGCAACCCTCCAGAAGAAATTCAAAACCCTAGATCTCCAAGGCAAAGCCCTCAACTGGCTCTCCAAGTACCCTTGCTGCTTCCAAATCCACGATCACCGCTGCCGCCTCACCAAACGCATGATGAACCTCGTCGCAGAGGAACAATCCCTCATCGATGCCCAGGAACCCTTCTTCGTTCGCCGCTTGGCCAAACTCCTCATGCTAACCCTCCGCAAGAGACTCACCGTCCTCAAAATCAACGAATTCAAACGCACTTTCGGCTTCCCCGACGATTACCTAATCAGAATCGTCCCTAAGTACCCTAATTTGTTCCGAATCGTCAACGAGACCGGCAGGAGGAGCTCCATGGCCGTTGAATTGCTCCACTGGGACCCTGACCTCGCTGTCTCCGCCGTCGAAGCTGCCGCGCGGAAGCTCGGCACGCCGCCGCGCTTTTCGTGCTCTTTGCCGTCCTCTTGGGTGAAGTCCTGGGAGAGGTTTCGCGAATTTGATGAAATTCCGTACTTTTCGCCGTATTGGGATCCGGGAGGTTTGGGGGAGGGCTCCAGGGAGATGGAGAAAAGGAATGTTGGTTTGGTGCATGAGTTGTTGTCGTTGACTCTCTGGAAGAAGGCTTCCATTGTGAAGTTAGGTCATTTTAGGAGGGAGTTTGTTTTGCCTGATAGGTTGAATGTGTTGTTGCTCAAGCACCCTGGGATTTTCTATGTTTCCAATAAGTATCAGATTTACACTGTTGTTCTTAGAGAGGCCTATGTTGGGTCTCAGCTTGTGGATAAGGATCCTTTGGTGGTTGTGAAGGAGAAGTTTGGGGAGATGATGCAGGAGGGGCTTCATGAGTACAATCAGAGGCGGCGCCTCCTCAATGTGGAGAAGAGGAGGAAGAATGGGGTTCCTTTGGTTAGTGTAGATGGTGAGAAGAAGGCTAGAAGGAGAAGAAGCCGTGAAGTTTCTGATGATGATGATGATGATGATGTTGATGGTCGTGGTGGTGGTGGATGTGGGGGAGATAGTAAGGCGGGAGGGTTGTTTGACCCCGAAGAAAGAAAACGGTTTTATAGAGTTCTTTTCGATGAGGATGCTTCTTGAAATTCCACCTAGGTGTGTAGATTGTGTTTTTGATTTGCGTAGTTTAGATGTCAACTCTGCCTTCCCCGTCTCCGAAGGATGATTGCTTAAGAACTGGGCTTGTCTATATTACTTATTTATTAATTTGTTACGTGTTGGAGGTTTAGATGTTAGGGTCGGATTAGTGGGTGCAATCCAAGGTTTTGGGCGGGGATATATTTACCTGGTGACTGTCACTTTGTTTTGGCTCTTCATCTAATCTAATTCTATGAAAGACAGGACAACGATGATCTGTTTATGAGCAATTTCTCGTATGATGAACTTATGAAAGGATCTAGTCTTGAGCTGAATTCTTTCTTTCCCGTGTTAGTTTCTCATTGCAAGAACTGTTAACTTCAATTGCCAATTTGTCAATGTTTCTTTCCTTCATATTAAAGTTCATATATTCTTGGTCGTCCCATATCTTGCATCAGTTTTTGTAACCTAGGGGCAATGAAGAGACTGTTCTTGTCTGAACGGGAAAGTTCCGATTTAGGTTATATTTGTACTTGGAAAGTTAGAAAGCGCTGTGCTTATCATTCTCCACGTTGTTTTATTTTCATTTCTAGCTTTTTCTGCGTGTGATTGAACTTTCATGTTTTTATCAATTTGAAAGGGAGTCAGTCTGTTTACTTATCTCTGAACTTTTTTATGCTTGTTTTGGCTTTGAGCTTGAGAAATTAATTAGCATCAAGTTAGACCTAGAATTGGTATCACCAAGTCAATCTGTTTACTTACCTTCCAAAATTTTGAGCTGATTTTATACTTTAGGCGTCCTTTATTTTTTTGTTTTTTAATGATGTGAGCTGCAATGGAACACAGGTTCCAAGGATGTAAAATTTTACACTTTTTTTTTTTGATTGGGTGGGAAGTATTTATTTGACCTTTTGGCTTCCAGCCACTGGAGATCACCCCTGCAACACTTTTAGATAATTAGTCTGTCGCTTCCAACAATGATTAATTAAATATCATAAGCTCCACTTCTAAAGAATAATTGTGAATTTTCATTGGTGGGTTATCTTGTTATTGTCACTTTACAAATTGCTCGTGTTGCATGCAAGATTTTACTTTTTTCTGTCTTGGTTCAACTGAGATAGACTAATATCACAGCGTGGCTCCGGTTCACACGATCACACCCCTTTGGTCGTGCCTCAATTGATAAATGTTGTTCTCCTTGTTATTGTTTCTCATATTTTTAAGATTGTCCTCCTTTTCCCCCACCTGTAGATTGTGGTGCGGGAAATTGTAGAGTTTTCTAGGCAATGCTGTCCTTAATGTGTTTGATGGGAAGATGGATTTAGGATGAAGAATGTTTCTGAAAGGCACATCAACATATATGGAAGATAGATTTCTTGTTTTGGTAAAATCCCTGAAATTCTCGAAGGTTTGTCAGTATATGAAATGCCCAAATTGGTCTATATGGGTTGGGAGCAGAGCCCATTGCTCAGTACTGCATGGTTGTTCGAAATGAGAATGAACTGGATGAAAAGGGAATCACAGATTGGAAATATTTTGATGAACATTATGGGTTGGGAGCAGAGCCCATTGCTCAGTACTGCATGGTTGTTCGAAATGAGAATGAACTGGATGAAAAGGGAATCACAGATTGGAAATATTTTGATGAACATCAGATCTAAGAGAAGTAAATATCAAACTTTCCCCAGCAAATTTAATTATGTAAATTTTATTTTGTTTATATTTCGTTATGCATCCAGCATAAATGCTGGATAATAATTAATGATGATTATTTTGGAGGGTGGTTCAAGAAATAGGGATAATTATTATTAGAATTTTTTATAGTATAAATGTTTATACTGTTATAGTATAGAGGTTTTTTATAATATCATTCAATCCCTGATTGTATAGTTTTTAGAAAGTTTATTGGTGTTTATAATAGCTCCTTTAAAAATCATATTCGAGTTAATTTCTATTAAGTTCACTGTATAAAAGTTGTACACTGAAGGTTCATGAAAATAAAGTTATTAACGGGATTGTTATTGAGTTATTGAGATGTTGATGAGCTTGAAAAAAAATTAGATTGATATCTTTATTGGCCCCAAACACAGGAGATTTGCATGACCCATCAATTGGAGAAAAATTACTTCTTTTATTTTTTGGACTTTTTCTTTCCTTCTAACTCTGTTATAATGTTTTTGTCAATTAGGGAATGTGAGTTGAACTTCACGAGTTAATATACATTTTCTTGGTAAATTGGGTTTGATAAACAAATTCACTGTTCGTTTAGCTTAATTCGTCAATGCAAAGGGATTAACTTGTTGATTTGGTGGATTGATTTGTCAAAAAAAAAAAATTATGGTTTTAAAAGATAAATTTACATTGAATTAATGTTTTTTATGTTATAGTTTAACTTTTCTTTTTAGATATTTATTCTCATTTTAAGTGGATTATATATATTATTTTAATTACATGTTTTCTTTTGGTACATTTTCATGTAAAGTGTCCTTTTTAAGACTATATTTTTTTATTTTTCATTTTGTTTGAGTAACATTAGTTTAAATTGGGATTAATTTTCAAACTTATAATTTAATTATAAAAATATATATTATTTTGATTCTTTTGCATGAAAAAATTTAACTCGTTTAATCAATTTTATAAATAATAATAAAATTATAAATTAAAGTGGTGATTTGTATTAAAATTCTTTAATTAAGGTTTTCTTTTTTAAAAAAAGATTAGGTAGGTTGAAAGTTGGTCAAATTCATCATTTTAAACTCACTAATATGCAAAAGCTGGTTAACTCCACAAAGTAAGATTTGATATATTCTTTGACTTATTTTTTTGGTGTGTCAACTTGTCTTGCTTTATTTTAAGTGTGTTGATTCACATTGTCACTTCTAATCAATTTGTATAACCTATATCTACATTTATATATATATATATATATATATATATATATGTATATATGTAATTTATATTATTATTAATAAAAGGGATTCACCTATTTGGTATTCATATTTTTAGACAATTTTACTTTTATAATTATCCTTTTATAAATTACAAAATTTTTATTACTTTTTTGTACATTTCACTTTATAACCTCAATATTTCTAATAACCATTCATTATTGTATAAATTTTAATTATTTATTATTTATTTTCAAATAATTCACAAAAACACGCAATGTCTTTTATAAGCAAATATTAATAAAAGTGATATGTCTATTTTACACTTTTTTATTAACTTATATTATATTTTATTTTATCAATGTAATTTTTTCATGAGTGTTGAGTTAGAAAATCAGCGGACATGGACATGGAAAAAAAATAACACACCTTATGATATATACAAGTTTTATATTCAATATTATCTCGAATAATTTTAAAATTCTTTAAGACGTAGACTTCAAATATATGCTAAAATATAATGTTTGTCTCTTGTTTTTATTTTAAGTTTCAGTTTGATTCTTCTTTAAGTTTAAAAGTTCTACTTTGATTAGTCAAATTGGTCCTTTTTGTTAGCTTTTTACACTAACAACGTTAATTTTTATTAATGTAGCATTCTCACATTTTGTCATATGTTATTAAATTAACCAAATTAGTGAGATAAAATAATAGAATGACCAACTTGATCTAAAATAAATAAGGACTAAAAATATATTTTAACTTATAATATATTATGAAATTAATATTTTTTAGTGGAAAAAGGTAATTATTAGAAATTTTAACTTCCATTCTTATAGGAATATAGAGTACCCATCGCTCACCATTACTTATATTATTAATTTGCAAATGTAATTTTTTTCTCCATATTTTTTTTGTCATTTTTTTTCATATTTACATTTGAATTATATAACCTTTAATGATTATTGTGACATTAGTGTTTTAGTTATTGTATTTCAATTTAAAAAATATAATTAATTCCAATGTCTTAAATATGAATAGTTATCTTATATGGAAGTATTTTTAATTATTTTTTTAAGATAAACTGTCGGTCTCAAGAACGCGGGGGCCACTTATCAGCGACTGATGGATAAGGTTTTCCATCAGCAGATTGGCCGGAATATGGAGGTCTACGTTGACGACATGGTGGTCAAAACCACCTCAGCCGCGGACCACGTTGCCGACCTTGCCGAGGTGTTCAGCCAAATCAAGAGACACAACATGCGTCTCAACCCAGAGAAGTGCGTCTTCGGCGTCGAGGGAGGTAAGTTCCTCGATTTCATGATCACTAACAGAGGAATTGAGGCTAACCCTGAGAAGTGTAAAGCCATCATCCTGATGCAGAGTCCTCAAATGGTGTAAGAAGTTCAACGCCTAGCCGGAAGGTTGGTCTCACTATCCCGTTTCATCCCTAGACTCGCGGAGAAAGCAGGGCCAATCTTCACTCTTCTATAGAAGCCAAAAGACTTCCAGTGGATGGATCAGTACGAGGAAGCTTTCCGAAGTTTCAAAACTTTTCTCACGACTCCGCCAATCCTGCAAAGATCGGATCACAAAACCGACCTCCTCCTCTACTTGGTAGTGGCAGAAAGCACAATCAGTGCGGTCATAGTGCAGGAGCACCAAAAAACACAAACGCCGGTCTACTTCATCAGCCGAGTCCTCCAAGACACAGAGAAGAGGTACCAAACCATTGAGAAGCTTGTACTGGCCCTTGTCACGACAGCCAGGCGCCTCCGACCTTACTTCCAAAGTCACCAAGTAATCGTCAAGACTGACTACCAAATCAAGCAGATCTTGAGGAAGTCGGAGCTCGCCGGGCGGATAATAGCTTGGTCGGTAGAACTATCCGAGTTTGGCATCCAGTACGAAAGTCGCGGAGCCCTGAAAGCCCAATGCTTGGCCAACTTCGTAGCCGAACTCACTCCTACCTCAGTCGAAGAACCACAGGTATGAATTTTACACGTCGACGGGTCCTCCAACTCCAAAGGTGGTGGTGCAGGTATCATCTTGGAGGGACCAAACCAAGTCACGTTGGAGCAATCACTCAAATTCAGCTTCAAGGTAACCAACAACCAAGCAGAATACGAGGCGCTTCTTGCAGGGCTAAGGTTGACTCATGACCTCGGAGCTTGGAGAGTAAGGTGCAACAGCGACTCGAAACTTATGGTCGAGCAGCTCAGTGGAACATACCAGGCCAATGACGTTCTTCTACAGCGGTATTTCCACATGGCATCACAACAGATCTCGTCCTTTGACGAGTTCACTATACAGCATGTACCGCGAGAACAGAACACCAGAGCTGACCTCCTATCAAAACTCGCGAGCACTAAGAGCCCTGGACAACATCGGACCATCATCCAGGAGAGTTTGCACTCACCCAACCTGGATGACAAGGTCATCACCGCTAGCGACAGTGAAGACCAGGGATGGATGACAGGCATTTGGAGCTACTTGAAGGTAGGAGTTTTGCCCGAGGGCAGGGATGAAGCCAGGAAGATGAGGTTGAGGTCGGCCAAGTTCGTCATCATTGGCGACGAACTATTCAAGCATGGCATCTCCACCCCACTGCTCAAGTGCTTAACTGCACCCCAGGCAGCCTATGTCATCGAGGAGATCCACGGGGGCATATGTGGCATGCACTCCGGGGCACGTTCAATGGCGACCAGAGTACTCCGAGTAGGGTACTACTGGCCCACATTAAAATTGGATTGCCAGGACTACGTACAAAAATGCAAAGAATGTCAGCAGTTCAGCAACTCACATCAGCAGCCACCCAAAACTCTCTACCAAATGATGTCGTCGTGGCCTTTCGCCCAGTGGGGAATGGACATCCTAGGACCATTCCCCCCAGCGAAGGGTCAGCACAAGTTCCTCCTGGTGGCAATCGACTACTTCACCAAGTGGATCGAGGCATGTCCACTAGCTAGGATCACCACTGAGAACATACGGAAATTCACCTGGAAGAGTATCGTATGCAGATTCGGGATACCTCATTCCCTTGTTACTGATAACGGCTGACAGTTCGGCAAACGTGGTATTGGTAAAAAAGAGCTCGGGAAAATAGCGCATGTGCGTCGACTACACCGACCTGAACAAGGCATGCCCCAAGGATTCATACCCATTGCCGAGTATCGACAGGCTAGTCGACGGGGCATCCAGACACGCCCTCCTCAATTTCCTCGACGCCTACTCCGGGTACAACCAGATCATGATGTACCCACCAGACGAGGTGCACACGTCATTCATCACTGATCACACCAATTAATGCTATCGAGTGATGCCTTTCGGTCTCAAGAACGCGGGGGCCACTTATCAGCGACTGATGGATAAGGTTTTCCATCAGCAGATTGGCCGGAATATGGAGGTCTACGTTGACGACATGGTGGTCAAAACCACCTCAGCCGCGGACCACGTTGCCGACCTTGCCGAGGTGTTCAGCCAAATCAAGAGACACAACTAAAAATATTTATTTATATAAATTTTAAATATAACATATATATTTAAATATAATATTTATTTATATATAATTTGGTATAAATTTTAATTATATATAACATTATAAATACTTAACCTATGTAATACACATGATATTAGTAATATATAAAAGTGAAAAAAGTATTAAAGCTTTTTATAATTGGAAAAACAACAATATTAATTAAAAATAGTATATTTTGATCTTATCCGACTTTCATTCATTTTCAAAGTTATTTTTAATTATTATAATATTTGCACAAAATATTTATTGTAAAAATAAAATCTTATTATATATTTCTTAAAAAAGAAATCTATTTCATATCTAAAGATACCATTGAAACCCTTGTTAACAAAATATAAATCGTTGTCACTTACATTAACTTACACAGAACTACAAATACTAACCCTAGCTAGATGAAAAACAGTGTTTGAGTGCGTTACTGGTATTATTTTATAACTCTCGCCTCTTTTATTAATTATTACGTATAAATAGATATATAATACTAGTATTACTATTTACTATTTACTATTTACTATTTAGCGTTTAACATAAACACATTCTTTCAGGGCTTCATCGCCGCTCTATCCATCTCTCGCACAACGCAGATTCATTTTCGCTTTTTTTCTTTCCCCTTCGCTGCGGATTTCGATCTTATTCTGTTCCTCTCACGCATTTGCTTCGTATCGATCTCCTTTTGCAGTTCCGTCAATCCAACGCAAGACAAAACCCTAATCCGCCATGGGAAGGAAGAAGCCTTCGGCGAGGGACGACGAGAACGCCTCGCAGCCAGGCGCCGCCGGGAAATCGAAGAAGAAGGCGCTGCTCATCGACGACGACGAGTACGCCATCGGAACGGAGCTCTCTGAGGAGCCGGCGCCGGAGGAGAAGCCTGCTGGGAAGAAGAAAGGTAAAAAAGGTAATGCTAAAGCTAAGAATAATGATAACGATGATGATGATGATGATGATGTTGAGGTTAATGATGACGAGGATGTGCCTGAGGTTGTGTTTGCTGGGAAGAAGAAGGGGAAAAATAAGAAAGGTGGTGGGAGCAGTGGGTTCACTGCGTCTGGCTTTGGTTTGCTTGGTGATGAGGAAGGTGATGAAGAAGAGAAATCTGAGTTAATGGGTGAGGAGGATGAGGATGAGCCTGTGGTGAGTTTTTCGGGTAAGAAGAAGCCATCGAAGAAAAGTGGTGGCAGTGTGTTCAGTGCATCTGCTTTTGATGCTATTGATGATGGGGAGGCTGGTGAGGAGGAGGAGGATGAGCCAGTGGTTAGTTTTTCTGGCAAGAAGAAGTCTTCCAAGAGTTCGAAGAAAGGCAGTGGCGGTGGCAGTTTGTTCACTGCCTCGGCTTTTGATGCTATTGATGATGATGAGGATGGTGAGGTTGTGGATGATAAGGATGAGGATGTTGATGCTGATGAGCCTGTTATTACTTTCACGGGGAAGAAGAAGTCTTCCAAAGGGAGTAAGAAGGGTGGGTCTGTGTTTTCAGCTGCGGTTCTCGGTGAGATTGATGATGGAGAGGAGAATAAGGATGAAAAGGAGGATGGTGATGATGATGACGACATTGGACCAATCACTTTCTCTGGTAAGAAAAAGAAGTCTTCAAGAAAGACTGTTAATTCGGCTAGCAAAGGTGTTTCAGTCGAGGATGATGAGTCTGGTAAAGGTGGTGATAACAAGGATGAGGATGACCTTTCTTTAGTTACGTTTTCTGGTAAAAAGAAGTCATCTAAGAAGAAAGGCAGTGGTGCTGCTGCCAAAGGGATTGATGAATTTGGGCTTGGGAGTGAAAATGTGGATGTAGTTGAGCCTGAGCAGCCCAGTGATGCTGGCAACACCAATGCAAATAAGAGTGAAGGGTTTGCTGAAACTTCTAAAAATAAGAAGAAGAATAAGAAAAAGAGTGGAAGAACTGCTCAAGAGGAGGAGGATCTGGACAAACTTCTTGCAGAGCTTGGTGAGGCCCTTCCTGTGCCAAAACCCACAGCTGTTGCACCGCAGGATGATAAAGTTCAGCCCACTCCTGAAGTAGGTCCTGTTGCTGATGCCTCTGGGGAAAAGGAGGGTGAAGACGAGACTGTAGAGTCAGCTGCTGCAAAGAAGAAGAAGAAGAAGAAGGAAAAGGAAAAGGAGAAGAAGGCAGCTGCGGCCGCAGCAGCAGCAGCAGGAAGTGTGCCAGAAAAAGAAACAGCAGAGGTTAAAGCTGAGATTATTGAATCAAAGAAGAATGAGTCAAAGACTAAAGCGGCTGATAAGAAAGTGCCAAAGCATGTTAGGGAGATGCAAGAGGCACTAGCTAGAAGAAAAGAGGCTGAAGAAAGGAAGAAAAGAGAAGAGGAGGAGAGGTTAAGGAAGGAGGAAGAGGAGCGACGAAAGCAAGAGGAACTTGAGAGACAGGCAGAGGAGGCTAGACGTAGAAAGAAGGAAAGAGAAAAGGAGAAACTCCAGAAGAAAAAGCAAGAAGGTAAACTGTTATCTGGAAAGCAGAAGGAAGAAGCCCGGCGTTTGGAGGCAATGAGGAGGCAGATTCTCAATAATACAGGGGGTATGACTCTCCCTTCTGGGGAGTCTGGTGCTCCGGCCAAAAAACCCATATATCAGACAAAGAAATTAAAACAAAATCAACGGAATCAGAATGGTGCTGCTGCTCAGACAGCTGAAAGTGTTGAAGCAAGGGAAGCTACCACTGATTTGGCCTCAGAGGAACCAGAAAAGATTGAAGAAGTGGAGTCAGTGCAAGTGGATGAGAAAGTTGAAGCTCCTGTAGCTGTTGAAGAGGCTGAAGCAGAAGATGATGAAGAGGATGAATGGGATGCAAAAAGCTGGGATGATGTTAATCTGAATGCCAAAGGCGCATTTGCTGATGAAGAGGCTGACTCAGAGCCTGTACCTATTGTCAAAAAGGAGATTAAAAATGCTTTACCTGCTCAGAATGCTGGTGAGATTTGCATTTTATTGATTTTTTTTTTTGCTTGTTTATTCCTGCTTGAGACCTCTTTTATGATTGAAAATAAGAAGCTTGGTGCCAGAGTTCTGGTCCCTGTTATTGTACCCTTATTATAGCTAGCATAATAGAATACATCTATGATCTATGAACTTATTTTGGCATATAGAATTAGAAACTGACGGGGCTTTGAATTTTTGACGAAGAACTTAGTTTTGGAATCTTTTTTATGCTAACAAGTGACCAAAACTTATTGGTTATGTTAATTGTTTCACCTGCTTCCATAATGTAGTAAATTGTTGAAAGATTCTACTGATTACTGGAATTGGTGACTTGGTGTCAGATCTGGCATCCTGACAGTGTAATGCATTATGTATCTCCACCCTTGCTTCAGATTAAAAAAAATGTTATTGTTCTTAGAGAGAGTTAGGGGGAAACAGGAAGCAGTAGATCTCCCTGTGGCACGTGTGACTAAACTAATTCTGTCTCTTTGTGCACATTCAATGGTGTTTGATTGACCCAAGTAGTCCCCCCTGTACCTGTAGCATGTATTCGGTTGTTACTGTTATGTGTCATCAAGAGTCTGAGGGGTTGAGTGGAAGGATTTTGGCTTGTACTTTTATTTCCCTAGTAAAATTGAATCTTTTGATTGTTAAGTAATAACTACTTTCCTGCTAATTTAAAATTGTTTTTTTTTCCTCCTATGCAACAGGTGCTTCTAATAAAACTGTTTCTAAGCCTGTGGATGAAGAAGGTGAAAATGGAAAGCAGGCTAAAGCAGTCACTATGAACAAAAATAACAACAGGGAACTACAAAAGTCTGCTGTGCCTCCTAAGCCTAATGATGAGAACCTCCGCTCCCCTATTTGCTGTATCATGGGGCATGTGGATACTGGCAAAACTAAGCTGCTGGACTGTATTCGAGGTACTAATGTTCAGGAGGGTGAGGCTGGTGGTATCACACAACAGATTGGTGCAACATACTTTACTGCTGAGAATATACGTGATAGAACAAAGGAACTGAAAGCTGATGCAAAGCTGAAAGTTCCTGGTCTACTGGTTATTGATACCCCAGGGCATGAGTCATTTACTAACTTGAGGTCTCGGGGTTCAGGTCTATGTGATATTGCAATTTTGGTTGTTGACATTATGCATGGGTTAGAGCAACAAACAATAGAATCACTAAATCTATTAAAGATGAGGAATACAGAATTCATTGTTGCCTTGAATAAGGTGAGTATTTATGTCTTGCACTTTTATGAGTTTTTTTCCAATAGATTATGTTAATGTCTGTCACACTGTTCTTCAAACATTGCAGGTTGACAGGCTTTATGGGTGGAAAACATGTCGCAATTCTCCAATTGTTAAAGCAATTAAGCAGCAGACTAAGGATGTTCAAAATGAGTTTAATATGAGGCTCACTCAGGTAGCAATATATATATATTCTAAATCAGGTGCACTAGGCTATTTTGTTATTGTTTGCAGCCCTAATTTTCTTCTGTTTCATTGCTAGATTATTACTCAATTCAAGGAACAGGGCCTGAATACTGAGTTGTATTATAAAAACAAAGAAATGGGAGAAACGTTCAGCATTGTGCCTACAAGTGCAATAAGGTAATTGTGATAGCCCTGTAGCGATGATACTCTACCACATCACTTCCTGTGTTGAACGGAATAATTTTGGACTGGTCATTGACACGGGGACTGGTTTTGGAGACCATTAGTTGGGTTTTTCACCATTTCTATCATGTGGTGAAAAATGCCATTGGATCAAGTTCTATGGTCTGATGAATGCTGATGTCTCCTTTGTCATTATGAACAATGTAAATGGATGAGTTATGCTTTAGACTGATGCTACTGCTCTTCCTGCACAAACCTAACATTCCAAATGGGACAATACTAAGGCATAGATGTCTGAAATCTGTAATTACATACACATGTTTTTTACTAGCACAAACCTGATGTCATTATAGGCAATATTATCACACTTAGCTTCATTTCAGAAGAGCCCAATTTCTAAATCAAATATTTTGTTGGTTTTGATCATGTTTTAGTCCATTTACTTTTAAAATGGTCGACACTATTATGAAGCATCTTGTACTGATCCTGATATTTCAGTGTGTTCCAGAACATCTTTACTTCTTTGGAATGTTTCAAAATGTGTTCAACCTGTCTGAGCTCCATCAGAATATATCTAAAAAAATGTGATTTGGTGGGAGACGACAGGGTCGCTGCCTAAAATTTGCCTTGGGGCAGAATCTATCTTTTATCAGTGTTGCCTAAAACTGTTACAGAATCTGCTTAATGCTTTTCATATGGGTGGTGTTGTATTGACTTTTTGAGTTTTTATATTTCAGTGGTGAAGGAATTCCTGATTTGTTATTACTATTGGTTCAATGGACCCAAAAAACAATGGTTGAGAAACTTACATACAGTGAAGAAGTGCAGGTTAGCTTTAATGTTACATAATATAAAAGCTGGTTGAATACTTTATGATGGTTTAACTGTAGGGACCTAATTATTTGTTGATTGTGGCCATCAGTGTACTGTTTTAGAGGTGAAGGTAGTTGAAGGCCATGGAACTACTATTGATGTTGTTTTAGTTAATGGTGTTCTTCATGAAGGAGAACAAATAGTCGTCTGTGGAATGCAGGCAAGCATCTTAAACCCTCACTGTATCATCTATTAGTGCCTGTTCCCTTGTTCAGCCTAATGAAATTTTTATTATAGGGGCCAATTGTTACCACAATTCGAGCTTTATTAACACCTCATCCAATGAAGGAACTTCGTGTCAAGGTACGGGCATATGGCTACAAATTATTTGTTTGTTTATTTTCTTATGATATTTAATAGTAATTACTTGATAGGAAAATTAGAACTTTGCTATATAACTTTCTACTATTTGTGACCAAGAAATTATTTGGTCTGAATTTATTGATTTGTATGTAAGTATGGTTTTTGAAGGAAAAAAGACATAACTTTGAATGAGTTCCAGTGATATTAAAATGTGTTGGAATCTAAAGAAAGGATTATGAGTCCCTGACCATTATGCTTAACATGGCAGAGCTGAGCCACATAAACAGAGGCTGCATTCACTTACTAATTGGATTTTTTTTTTCTCATTCATATGCCAAATAATGGAGTTTGATTAATGATTCTTAATGTAAATAATGCGCTGGTTAAGATGAAACTCTTGGGAAGATATGCATTCCCTGTTAGAGGCCTGGAACAAATCAATTGCTTAAGTGACTCCTTATGTGTCTAAGTTTGTGGCCAAGGTTGTCAACCTCTAGAGTTAGAGTTTATTCGGTAAACTCAACTAGTAAGCTTTACAAGTGAACTTGTAAAAGTTTAAATTCTTCAAAAGTATTATTTAAAAGAAATATCCTTCTATTCTAGTAACTGTGCATTGAGGCCAAAACCATGTGTAAATCTAGTCCTGTAAGGTAAGTTTTACAACAAGAGAGTTCATGTGTGGTTTAGTTTGCTTTTGTGCCCCCTAGGATCTATAACTCACCTTTTTTTTGCTGTAGCTTATGCAGTGTTTGTATGCTGGCATGCCTTTAGGATATGAAAGAGAATCGTCATTTTTCAAAATAAAAGCTCTGGAATCAATTTTGCTTTTGATGAATGAAAAAAATACTCATTTTCACATTGTACAAATGTTATTGACAATGAATAATGGTTTATGGTGGTGAGCCGAAAATCCTTTATAAACATATGTCAGACTATATATATAAACATCAAAAAAATAAATGACAAGAAGCAAAAGTAAATTAAAAAACAATATAATATCAACTTAAATAGTTAAATACCATAGCAATACCATAATTCATCAGTCTCATTAACATAATTGATTAGAACACAACAAAAAGGTGCAGATGTCTGACTTTGGTTTGGGTTGCTAGACATTGTCCTAAAAATAAGAAAAGGAACAATAAAATAGGAACTCAATGTTAGAACTTAGAACGGTATAGGAACTTAAATTGGACCCAACTGGTAGAAGTAGGATTAAAATTGAAAAAATGTTGCTGTGGACGCACCAACAGATGCAAATGAAGGAAGAAGTAGAAAAAAAAAGATAGAATGAAAAAATAGGCAGCAACAAGCAGATGAAGAAAAGATGAAGAAAGAAGTAGGATTAAAAATGAAAACAAAAAAAACATGTTGCTGCGTTCGATGCAGATGTTTGCTGGAGTTGCTCGTCAGAGAGTTGGACCACTGCGGTTTAGGTCAATGGCCGGAAAGGTGACCGATGAGTGATGGTTGAAGTTGAATGAAGGTGACCAAAGAGGTTTACGAACCTAGGGTTCGTGTGAGTTGAGTGACTGCTGTTTACGTTTGCAACTACGAAGGGAGATCAAATTGAGTCAAGCAAAAAAACTAAGGTCTCACTCCATTTGGGGCTGGGTTGAAGTCCAAAAATAGGTTTTTTTTTTTTTAAAAATGCCATGGACCACCATGACCATTGTAAAGCTTTTCGATGCCATGGCCATGGCAGCTGCCATAATGGAAATGGTGAATGCCGCCAAAATCCTTTATAAAATGGATGGCGAATGGTGGTTCTGGTCCAAACTGTGATGTTTTTCGGTTATAACGCCATTATAACTGTTATTTGACAACATTGCATTGCACTAAATGCATGTATTTGAAAGGCTTATTAAGCTCTGAGTTTTTAAAATTCTGTAACTGATGTGTCTTTGTCAAGATAATTGAGATTTATATAAGCTAGAATTAAGAAATTTCAGTGATTATAATGGTCCCATTCCAGTAATTCAAGTTGGAAGAGGTCTTTCAATCATAGAAATTTATGATGTTTTGTAACCAAAGACCATGTTTGGATTGAAATGAAGTGGGATGGAATGGAGCAACACTAGGTTCCATTGTTTTGATTGTTTGAAATAAGATGAAATGGAATGGAACCAATTCGAATGCATTCCATTCCATCTGGTGCCCCTCTTTCTCTTCCCCTTCAATTTTGAAGGATATGGTATGGAACCAGCTTTTTTCTTTTTCATTTCATCATAAATTATCTGGACAGTGAAATGGTACTGCATTCCGTTATGTTCTACTCCATTCCATTTTGTTCCTTTAAATTCCACTCACCATTTGATTTACAAATATAGCTGTTGGTGGGGTGGTGGGTCTTGGATGATTAATTTAGACAAGAAAACTATTTGAATAGGTAATATCTCATTCATGTATACCAACGTCAATCTTATGTTTACTGTGTAATACGTTTTATAATGGAAAATTCCATCTAGGCAGAGGGAGTGTATTATTTAGTATTCCTTACATGTCACAACACAGTAATAATGGTCTAATTTCAGGGAACATACCTTCATCACAAAGAAATCAAAGCTGCAATGGGTATAAAAATCACCGCTCAGGTACTTCTGATATTGATCTGACTTGTTCTTATGCCAATTTTTTTTTCCAGTTGTCTTTCATATGCTTATGAATGTTTAAACTTTGGTTTTATTTTGTGTTTTATTCAGGGGCTTGAACATGCCATTGCTGGCACTGGTTTATATGTGGTGAAGCCTGATGATGACTTGGAAGATGTTAAAGAATCAGCCATGGAGGATATGCGGTCAGTCATGAGCAGGATTGACAGGACTGGTGAAGGTGTTTGTGTACAGGCATCTACCCTTGGCTCCTTGGAAGCATTATTGGAGTTTTTGAAAACCCCGGAAGTGAGCATCCCTGTTAGTGGTATAAGCATAGGCCCTGTACATAAAAAGGATGTAATGAAGGCCAGTGTAATGCTTGAAAAGAAGCGAGAATATGCAGCTATATTGGCATTTGATGTCAAAGTTACTCCTGAGGCTAGGGAACTGGCAGATGAATTGGGTGTGAAGATATTCATTGCTGATATCATTTATCATCTGTTCGATCAATTTAAAGCTTATATTGACAACATTAAGGAGGAGAAAAAGAGAGAAGCTGCTGATGAGGCAGTCTTCCCATCTGTTATGAAAATCTTACCAAATTGCATTTTCAACAAGAAGGACCCAATTGTTTTGGGAGTTGATATCCTCGAAGGCATCTTGAAGGTATTATTTTTTGTATTTTTAACATGGCTGCATTGTCTCATGTGAATAACTATTTTGTTGATACAAGGGGCTTTTTGCCTGGAGTAAATCTAGCAGTTTTATTTTCATTTGAATCTATTTTTGATGAAGGAATTAGCAATTATATTTCTTTTCCTCTTTGATAAGTTTAGGCTTGTGTGGTTTTTTGACTAGCTACGATATGGGTAGGTGGAAATTTTAGAATGTAAATTATTTCAGACTTGCTTGGTAGTTGGTACAACCGAAGTATTGGAAAAGTGAATGTGGAGTGTAACTTGTTTTATTTATACTCCACCCCTCAAATTTTGGCCACCTTTTATTATGAAAGTGTGCTGAAACTGACTATTAACCCTTTACTAAGCAACAAAAAATCATTGTATCCTTGTTTTTCATTTTCGATCTCATTTTGCAACTACTCAAATACAACTAGGCTTAGTCTGTTGGTCACACTTGGAAGACTTTGAACTATGGATTTCAATATGGAGTCTAAGTTTGTAGGAGATCTCACTATTAGAATTGTATGTCTTTAGCTATGAGCCTATGACATCTTAAACTCGTGGAGTTGTCATACAGAGTATAAACTAAATGTAGAACTTGAATAATCTTGTTTGATCCTCATCAAGCTACATAATTTATCAATTGATTATTTTTTATATCTATTCTGTATCAAAAAATGCTGGAGAGCTAGATTTTTTTGTCCAAATGGTTATTTTGTTACTTGTTTCCACCCTTATATTCCATGTGCTTCTATATTTGATGCTGTACCCATGTTTTATCATTAGTTATTGTGTGCTTATTTTATTTGTGTGCCTCATTCGAGATGCTTTAACATTATTTTTCAGTTTGATCTCTGTGAACCCTACTTTCTTCAGTTTTTGGGTTGATGATGTTAACGGTGGTCAAGTTTTGTTCTGAAGTCTATTGTTCACAATGTGCAAAAAATTATTTGTTTTAGTTTCTTTAAATTTGTATCTAACATAGTCTATTATATGACAGATTGGGACTCCAATATGTATTCCTTCCAGAGAGTTCATTGATATTGGTCGCATTGCGTCCATTGAAAATAACCATAAACCCGTTGATTATGCAAAGAAGGGGCAGAAAGTAGCCATTAAGGTATGTTCTTGGACTGAAATTAGATCCTCAATAATGAGCCTCAGCTCACAAAGTTGTCCCCAATGAAAATGGAACAAAAGACTCTGTTTACGTAACAAGAAGCAAAAAGCTTATAAGTTGCACAATGTTGAAAAGGAGAAAAGATCATAAATACCTGCTTTTAAAGTATTTGATGTAATAGTTTTATTGCATTGACAAAATGTCATAATCCATTTTCATGATTTACTGCGATCAAGTAGACATGGTGATTGATTAAAGTGAAGAGGTGGATAATAGGGAGAAATGGAATGATTATTTTTAGCTGCGGTGTATTGGTGGCAATCTTACTGATATGCTGGAATTTTTTTTACAGATTATTGGCAGCAATCCTGAAGAGCAACAAAAAATGTTTGGGAGGCATTTTGAGATTGATGATGAACTTGTAAGCCATATTTCACGGAGATCTATTGATATACTCAAAACTAATTACCGGGTAAGTTTATAATAACAAACATCATGATCTATGTGTATTTGACTTAGAAGTTAGAAATGCTAGCAAATATTCTTTCTAATACGTTCTATTGTTGGCTGAAATTGTTTAAAATCTCATATTTGTGTGGGTTCCACTTATTTGGTGAACCTTATTTGTGTTTTTTGTATTTTTAATAATTTTTAATCAAGGAAAGTATATGTTAGAAATAGTTAGAGAATGTGTTGCTAATAGTTCTCTTTAACTGTTTGTGGATTTAGTTGAAAATGTTCTTAAATTTACATCTGTTGATTGATATAGGATGATCTATCTATGGAGGAATGGAGGTTGGTTGTGAAATTGAAGAATCTTTTCAAGATACAATGAGGAGACTTGAGGCACTCGAGTATTCATTCGAGAAAAATGAGGTTTTAGAGAAATGTTTGGTTTTATGCAACACTTCGAAGGATTTGTTGAGGATGCGATTGGATCCACCATGGAGACCAGTAAAGCTGATACGATGATTCAGAGAAGATGGTGCTGTGTCATGGAGATGCAAAAATAACTTACATAGTCGATGCTCCAAATGCTCTGTTAGGTGGAAAAGCTCAGGACAAAAGGATGCGAAAATGGAAACTGGCAAGGTCCAAGTTTTGTGAATTACTACCATATATATACATATCTGTGGTATACATGGAAGCAAATAAGGGTTCTAAATGCATTTCAGTGAGGAAAATCAAAATTTTACGGGAGTAATTATTGATTTAACTATAAAGTATTCACTTTTGTTTTCCGAGTGTACTAATTTTGTACAAAATTTTCCATCTGTAGCCAATTTTTTTTTTTGTTGCGAGTTATGTATCCTTTTGATGTTCCTACCAAGTATTTGGTTATGGAAGCCGTTAGTAATGGCAAAGTTTCAACTGAGCCACGTGGAGCCTAAAGTTATTGTGTTTGAATGTTTTGGCATTCGCAGCTCCTTATCCATAACCCTAGTCTCTCTACTAGGGCAATTTTCGAGTACATCTATGTTTTTCTAAATGGTTAAAGTAGTTTGTGGTGATTACCCAATTTGCATGGCTAACACGAGGGCATTAATTTGCCAAATTTTCCCACTTTGTTTTGCATTGGTTACGAAATTATCTAATCAAGCGTCTCCTGAGTGGCTCCACTATTTGGTTGTGATTTTCATCCTTTTTGTAACGAAGGAAATATTTTCCAATGATGAGCTATTGCATTCTCATTCTCGTGTAGCGGTAATCAGCGAGTGATCTATGAGAACTAATCAATCACGGTGATTACTAATATATTTTTGTTTGGATAAGGAGTGATAAAAGAGAAAATAGAAAAGATAATTAGATTGAAAAAGTTGTGTTGTTTAGATATATAATAAAAGGAAAAGAAGTGGAATAATTTTTTTTAGCTTGTTTGGTTAAGTAGAAAAGTAAATAAATAAATTATATACCTTTTATAAAATTACTTTTCTCTTCCTTTCATTTCTGTTTTAAAGTTTATTATAGAAAAAAAAGGAAAGATTAATTTCTTCTCATTTCAATTTGGGCGGATTTTTTTTTTTTTTTTTAACTTATGGATTTCCCATTTTAACTTTATTTTTTCACAAACAATAAATGAATTAAGTTACCTAAAGAGTACAATTGTGTCTTGCACACAATATTTTATATCTTCAATGTGTTTAAGAACATTCATTCCGAAACAATATTAATGGATGCAGGATTAATAAGATGAGTCAAGAAGTAACTGAACGAATGAAAGCGACTTTAAATTGCTTAAGTGAAAGCGGCTTTAATGATTTTAATATTTAATTTTCTATCAAAATTAAGCAATATGTTAAACTTATTTTAAGTTCTCAAGTTATTATGTTGTTGGAGTAAAATGACCGTAAAGCTTTTTGAATCTGATTTGACTATGATTCATTAAAAGTGAGTTAAGAATCAAAGACGTGTTACACCATTGGAAATGCTCGAGTGATTGGATTGAGGATATTAGTATACCATAATATAGTTAGAAATTATTTGATTTTCTTTTTTAATTTCAAAGATCATCTATTTTGAATTTTATTAAAACTAGTCTTATTCGATAGAAGATGAAAATTTACTGTTTGATACGTAAAATATTTTTACGTTTTTAAAAATCTTAAATTAAAAATATTGGTTTGCCATGTTTGATAATTATTTAAAAGAAAAATTCTCAAAAATGTAATTTTCTAGGAACTATTTTTAACTTACTTCCAACAAAATCATTTTACGAGTGAGTGAGAATTCAACTTTTCTAAGTTAGAAGATAAAATTTTATGTATATAAAAAAAAATTACAATATCCTTTTTAAAACAAAAAATATCTTTCCTTCTATTTTCTCTCTCTTTTTGTTTCTTTCACTCTTAGTCCCTTTCTCTTCCTCTTTGCCTCTCTCTTTCTGTTTCTCTTTTTCCCTCTCTCTCTTCGTCTTTTTTACTCTCACCCTCCCTCTTCCTCTCTCCCTTTTCCTTTATATCTCTCTTTCAATTTCTCTTTCTCCCTTTCTCTCTCTCTGCCACTCCCCCTCTCTTCCTCTCTCCTTCTCTTTCTCCCCCCTCTCTTTGTCCTACATCTCTATTTAATCCTGACCCACATTGAGCCTACAATCAATCTAACTTAAAATAATGAAATGTAGTACTTGAACTTTAAATTTTGAACATGAATAAAATTACACTTTTTTTTACTCAATATAATTATTGCCTGATTTAGGTTTAACATGCAAAAATTTGCACAAATCGAGCTTTCATCACGTTTGGGCTTATTTCTAAAATTGAATACAAATTTTTTGTTTCATCATCTCAAGTTATTTTTGCATATTTCAAACTAGACAACTTAGTCCAATCTAATGAATCATACATGAGAAATCACTATTAAAAAAAATTGTAATATAGTGACACGTATCTTATAGTGACACAAATTATTTTTACCTATATAATAAATATAATATATGTTGCTATATAATTTAAAAGTGTAGGTATAAGTTATAGTGATATAAAATATGTTGTTAACTCTCATTCAAAATCAACATTAAAATTGTATGAAATTATATGTTAAATAGATATATGCCTATATATATTATATTTATAGTAACATTTTTTGTATGTTATTATATATAACATTTCTTATGAACGAATCTAACTTTTGTAGACTTTGCTTTATTTGACTTAGTTGGTCCGTTTTTATTTTTGAAAAATAATTTTACATGTAAATTAAAAGGAAAAAAACAAAACAGAGGCAAAAAATTGGAAACATAAAAAATGAATTTATAATTTAAAATATGAAAATGAGTTTAATTTTAAAATTTTGAAAACTTGGAACTAATAAAAACCGCTGACCTTAAACATATGATTTTGATTTAATCTTGAAATTTAGATAAAATATTCTTTTGATAGGGATTTTCAAATAATATGCAATCACTCGTGGTATGATTTCCCTTACCAACTACAAATGATTTTTATCCTCTTTTTTGTAGTACAGTGTTCTCACTTCTCAATCCAACAATACTATAGTCCATAGCTACTCATATATTAAAAATTTACATCACTTACATGTTTTTCTCTGAAGTAAAGCTCGTACACAATTTTGATCGTTGTTTTATATCTCCACCCACTTCATCATTCAAAAGCTTTTTTCTTTTTTTTTTTCTCCATACATAAACAATTAATACACGTATAAAAGCTTCTGAAGCTACATTTTTTCAATACTAGCTTATTACCTAGCCAACTTCTATTCACGTCTCACCTCATTATTTATTGTGAAAAGAAAAAAATGAGGGGACACCGTAGGAGTAGGAGAGGTGATAATTAAAATGGATATATAAAATAAGAGTATGTCTTAATACAAACTTATATAAGTTTTTATTTGAGAGTTTTTTTTACTAAAAATAAAAATTATTTCCCAATAAAAAAACTCTCAAAAAACTCTTTCAAATTTATATCTGAACATACTCTAAACTTAATTAACACAATATTCCGGTTAGCAAAACTCACTTCACGAAGATACATAGTGAGCCTAAAGACCACTTGATCCAATCAACTTGGTTAGCCCAAAAGTTATAGCCATGGCTAGCCAACCTCCAACCAAGACTCTCACACAAGACCTCAATGTTGGAGCCTTTCCCAACACTGCTCCCAACCAACCAAACACCACAAGAGCAAAGCTCACTGCTCCCAAAACCACACCAACCCTCACCCTATACTCCCTTATGAAAGATGCTGCAAGAAGAGGCACCATTGCACCAACAGAAAATGCTAAAGCTGAAGCTGCTGCAGCATGTATAGGGTTTGGCAAGCTCTCTTTCTCTTCCTCATCTTCCACTTCATCTCTTTGTCGTCCATTATTCTCCCTTTCCTTCTCTCTTTTCATTTGAGCAACTTCTATGTCCAACTGAGAGTACACAGACACAAACTCCCCTATGGCCATGCTGCATGCTCCAGCCACTAGCCCTGCAAAACCTGTTAGGATCATGACCTTGATGTCTTGCTTCACTGCTCCCACACCCATCATAAGGGATGCTGTTGAGACCAAACCATCATTGGCTCCTAGGACTGCAGCACGGAGCCATTGAGATCGCTTTGAGTAGTCAAAGTCCTTGGTTTCAACCTCTAGGGTTTCTTGTTGCTCAAGGTCGTTGTTTGGATGGACGAATTTGGTTTGGTTTAGGGATGATGAGTGATTGGATGATGCCATGAAAAAGGTTAACAACAATGCTTGAGGAAGAGATGATTAAGCAATGGAGGATGTGGAGGACACACGCTACCAAAGAAGGGTATTTATGGATGAAAAAGTTGCCCATCTTGGAGGCAAACTTTTTCAATGTGCGGTCAAACTCTGTGTGTTTTTGCAAATTATTGAGCCTTTTTACGTCTTATAGATAATTTTATAATGAATTATGGGCATCAGAAGTTACTATTACTATTTGGTTGGTTTATGCGTAATTTAAACATTCTACATAAATCCCAACATAATTTCTGTTGTTAACTAGGGGCATATATTGTTTTTATACTATCAAAGTCATACATAGTTAAAAAAATAAATAAATAAAAAATAAAAGTTTATAAAATACACATATTTAGTTGACAATTTTTTTTTGAATAATAATAAAAAATAAAACTATGAAAATATAAATTCAAAATAAACTATATATTCTACTAATGTAGATTTAATTATATGTAAATAATTGATAAATATATTTTTCTTAAACAAAATGTTTAACATAATCATAAACTATGTTAGATAAAGGAAATAATTAACAAAATAAAAACATTATAAAGTAGTCATTATGCTTTTCCGGTCATGCCATGTTTTAAAAGGGGTCAAGTGGATGTGATGTTATTCCTCAAATATACATATAATACAACAAAATTAATATATTGTATACATTTATTTTATAATGATACAATATTTATTATTAAAAATTATTTTTATCTATATAATATATATAATATATGTTGATATATTATTAAAAATGTAAGTATATATTATAGTAAGATATAAAATATGTTGTTAAAATTTATTTAAAATTAATATTAAAATTATGTATAATTATATACTAAATAAATATATACCTATATATATTATATTTATAATGACATTTTTGTATATGACTTTATATAATATTTTTTATAATAATCTCAAAAATTGAAAAAGAAACCAGATATATATAATTTATATTAGAAGCTATATCATAATTAAGTGACACCCAACAAAAGAATATCAACATCTTAATTAACCATATATAGTAGTATATCGGGCAGACACTCCTAGCAAAAAATATTCATGAAAATGTAATATCACTGCTTTTGTTCACATAAAAAGAAAAAAAAAACCGTCTTTCAAAGAGTTTCCGAAATCATATCTGTTGATCAAATAAAAAGCTATTCCCAACAAAATTAGTATTTTAGAATTAAAATCATGAATGGTACTGATAGCGATTCAAAACAAAGTTAAAGTATTTGCAGTGTCACGACGTGAATGAATAATTAATAGAGACCATATATTATATATATAGAATTATAGATCTTCCATCCCATAAAAAAGCAATCAATAATGTAGAGTTGAAGGAAGTTATAGTTATAAGTTATACCTGACCAGAAACTCATGAATATAGCATGACTCAGATAAAGGACAAAACGTAAAGATAACCAAAATGAAATTGCTTTTTTTTCACACGCGAAAAGAAGAGGGAAAAGTATATTATTGAGGCACCTTTGTTCATTCAGTTATAACACTTGGTCAAGTACCACAAATATAGAGTTTCGTATTGCATTGGCAAACTGATGAAAGATATATATATCATCAAATTCATATAAGTTTGTTCGTAGTTCATAAATTTTATGCTTGCCATTTTCATATATAGTTCGATTGTAATTTAGGACATGTGGGATGCTAACAAATTTTAAGGGGAAACTAATGATAATTTTGCATTATTAGTATATTATACCTTTTTTTTTTTTTTTTTGAACAGCATTAGTATATTATACCTGTATAAATAGCTTATAAAAATAAAGAAAATCCCTGTATATATATAATTGATTCAGTTATGCGCACGACGAAAACTTATCAAGTGTGTCGAAAATATGAATGAATCATAAAAAATAATAAAAAATTAAAAAAAAACAGAACATCAGTGTCGGCGTAGCACAGCTTTGATCAGATTAATTGTATTTCTAATTATGTCAGTTAGCTAAATTTATAATTTATGAGATTTCATTTGTTAATTTGACTGTCAGGATGCTAAAAACAAATGCAGCTCAAACCAAACACAAGTATAATTTATGAAATTTAATTAAGAATATAATACATCAGGAAATCAAAGTTAAGAAACAACTTGTGCTTGTTAAAGAACTATGCCTGCATATCAGTCGAGTTAATCTAACCCAATCTAATTTTTTTTATAAGATCATTTATTTGAAGTGAACTCAAATGATTACACGATAATACGATAATATATAAAATAAAATCACATAAATTTGATTCATTGATATAATATATCAATTTTAATTATATATACTTAAACTAGATAAATTAAAGAAATATATAACTTTATAATTTAAGTAAATTTTATTATTATATCCTATGGAATAAAATATGACATGATACTAATAATATAATTTATGTTCAGAAGTAACTCCTATACCTTTTAAGTTTAAAACTAATGGATAAGTATATTTTTCTTGATAGAACTCGACATAAGTCTGTCAAGATGAGATAAATAAAGATAAGTAATAGACTATCTGATCTTAAAATAAGTTGGATTAAAACCAACTTTGTCACTTAATGGACCAACTAAGGTAAGAATAGGAAATCGGATTATTCCAACATATTTAGTATGATTTATTAATCACTTAAGAGAAATTGAAATTAATTCAACCCTAAAAAATCTAAACTAAAATCTTATTTTTAATAATCAAGATAACATGCTAATTAAAATATGATGTTTAATAATAAATAATTACCTTATCAAATATTAAAATTCTTAGAACCCATAAATTCATGATAGACAAATATTAAAAGTTTAATTCTAGAGTAAAAACGGACATATTATACTTTTGAATATTTTGACTTTAGTTTAAGTAACTATATTAATTCTAATACGTTTTCTAAAATGGAACAATTATGTACATATATCATTGTAAATATAATATATAAAATATTATTTATTAAGCAATTTTTTATATTATTAATACATAATTATTTAAAAAAAATATTTTTAAGAAAATATAAGACATTGATGACCAGATTTAAATGATTTGAAGTATAATTGAAATATTTTTTCTAATATACATGATCTAATTTTTTAAACGTATATAATCCCATTAAAAATGGTTTTAAACCAAATTGACTCAGTGAGAAGGAGCATGAGCACTTCAACTTGGAATGGGAGATTTCCAGAGAGAACTGTAAACTGAAAACATGGAAAACAGCTAAAGGATAAGGCATATTCTCCTCCAATTTGGGTAGACAGTGATACCACGTAACAGTTCATGCCATAATACCAACCCTTAGCATATCATATCATATCACAAATTAGGTAAGAAGATTTAGTCTAGAGTTATCAACAAAAAAATTTCAAGAGCCAAGACTGTAGCGAATACTAGTAAATCTTTTTCCAACAAGGTTTTAATTATATTGTGAATTGCGATTGTTATTAGGATTTTCTGAGTTACCGAGTAATGCATTTGGTGACATTTACTGCAATCTGAAATGATCGAAAAGGGTGAAGAAGGAAGAATGGATTGCTGAAGAGGAAAGCACTAGTTGGTATATGATAAAAAGTAAGAGAAGGGAATTGGATAAGTTATATAATGGAACAGAGTGTACATCCTACTCGAAGACCACCATTGTGCATTATTCCTTCCAATCAGACACACAAACAGGCTGAGTCTTCTTTGTTTTTGGCACTCCAACAACATACGTGCATTATGCATTATGCATTATGCATTATTATTATTTGGGTCACCAACTTGGATCATCAAGGTCCACAACTCTTTGTCTCGTTAAAGCCCAATACCAATATACTAAAGTAACTTCAAAGAAATAAAGGTGGCTAGCTTGTACCACAATAGTGACATCCATTAACAAATGGCGTGCTTCAGTTGAATTCCTGTCGCACAATGGATCAAAGATTTTTGGTTATTTATCATCATCATTCCTTTTCAACAATTCATCACTAACGAATCAGGCATTTCTCCTCATGCAGCTTTATTATTATTGCTGTAGTACTGAGTATATACATGTAATAGCAAACATTCTTCAAATTATTCTCGTTCTTTAAGTAATAAAGATATTAATTAAATTTAGATTATCAGAAGCTACTGAAAGTTCACCTATAATTAGTTCGCCCAATTCATTCTGATTTTCGTTTCTTTCGTTCCATATTCTACAATATACTTATTTTCTTTCGAAAAACGCAACTAGTACAATTTAGATAAATTATTTTAAGTATGTATATTTAGCATCGTAAGTAAGGATCGAGCCATTCAAATCCAAGCTAACTTTAGTAAAAGCCGAAAGCTATATCAACATAAAATGTTTGTTGAGAGAAGACAATATTTCGTGATAATTAAAATTTGCGTCGTTACAATTTAGGTAGATGTAACGCATAATATAACTTTAATTGAATACAGCATCAAGATTCATCGATAATAGCAGCAAATTGCTGATAAAACAGATTAAAAGACTTTCGGAATTAAAATGAAACATGCATATTAGTGAAATTGTTATCAATCGGTAGAATCAAACGCTAATGATTACCTACAATTTAAAAAAAAAAAAAAAAACTCACTGAAGTTATGATTGTTGTCAATTCTAAAAAATAAAAATTGTTAACCACCTTAAGAATACTATATTATTTGTTTTGGTCAAAGAAAGACGTAAACATGATTAATAATTCCAACTATTTTAAAGGTTAGCTAAAACTAAAGGAGAAAAGCTAAAATAAAGACAATGTGTGCACTGTGTGGGTCAAGCTAAAAAAAATGAAGAGAATGTGATGGTGAAAGGTGATATTTGGTTAAATTATCAAAATTCCAATTGGAACTCTCTTTCGACATTTGTTTCAATAAAGGACCCTGCATCCTTCAAATGATCATCGTGCTTCTAAAGTTTGAGATTCCCTTCCTTTCTTAGTAGTCGAAAAGAAATCTAAATATAAAATTAGACACAGACGTGTGCATGAAACTCTACGTGTTATTTATTTATTTATTTTTGTATCAAAACGAAAGTGATTCAAGTTTTCAAGATCAATGCC